TCCTTCCTTCCTTCCTTCCTTCCTTCCTTCCTTCCTCCCTCCCTCCCTCCCTCCCTCTCTATCTATCTATCTATCTATCTATCTATCTATCTATCTATCTATCTATCTCCTACCTGCTTTATTCATTCTAGGACAGAGGTTTAGTAGATCCACAGTAAATGCGTCTCAGCAACATTCTGCTGCTGACTTGTATTGCATGGTAAGACAAGCAAAATTTGTCTCTTCCCGGTATCTGCAAACTAAATGCCAAAGAGGAGCATGTCTAGGGAACTCTGAAATCTTAAAGCTTGGTTCTGCACATGTGCCAGCCACTTATCAGCAATATAACTTGTACAAGTGTAGAAACTCCTATGAATTAATTAAAATTACATCTCATGAATGTATATTGTCCCTTACTGTGAGCTCAGGCGGGGACTATTCAAAACTTTGAGCCTCATGAAGTATAAATATCCATGTGTGAACCAGTTTTAAGATTAAATTATTCTGCTTTAATATCCTAGGCCTTGGGTTGCCCACTGCTGAACTCTTTGTAGATTGCAACAGCCTAGTGATGGCGTAGCTGGAGCCATTTAAAAACAAAACAAAGACACTAAGGTGGTAACCTAGATTAATCAGGCAATTTATTATTTTTTTAATGCTGGTCCTTGAATAAAAATTGTCGTTCACGTAGAGTTTGTCAATAAAGCCATTCTCTTGTATATGCCAAAGAGAATAACATCACCTAGATAATGCCTGTGTAAGACATGAGCACATCAGCTAAAAATAAAGAGATTGCCCCAGGCATGTCTGTGGGGGTTAGGGAGTGAAATAAAAAAAGTCAAGATGGAGACTGTTTGCATCCATCTTGACTTTTTTGACCCCCCCAGCTGCCCCTGGATTGTCCTTTTCCTTCCTCTGAATATTGCTTTTTCTTATGTGATAATAAATTAATGATAGCTCTATACCTGCTTATACGCTGGCACAGATTTTTCTACAATAGGCACGTTTTGCATGCCATGACATCACATGCACATAAGAAAGGGGCGGAGCTTATAGCACGACCCTGCTTTTACCATTATGATGACAGCATTGGATCCTGTGAGTCCCTCCACCCATAATTTACCACGCATTTGCCTTAACATCAGCGCCTGGCGTGCATTTTTGAAGGCGCTGAATTCTATGGCAAAATTGGGGACATTGCATTACAATTTCGGTGCAGGTTCAGAAAGCAGAGATTGAGTAAAAAGTGAACCAAATAAATTTCTGCGTCATCTCTAACTCAGAGTTATACTGTAATGGGAAGTAGGAATAACCTTGAGGAACAGGAGGAAGAGCCACAACCAAGACAACGGTCAAATAAAAGAAACCTGAGTCTGGGGCAGAATTGTAACCTGAGTAAACGTAAACCTGAGTAAACATCTCAGACAAGACGTTCTCACAAAGATAAAAGGAGGGATGGGGGAAGCACATTCAAAACTTGCAAGATTCTTCTACTATAACCCTATAATAAAAATAGTATTAGCATTTGTAACTCTGGCTTCCTAGTCTGGTCTACCTCAAAGGGCCGACATATATACAGGAAGTTATCCCCTTTTTTTCATACACAACAACTGTGTGAGCCCTTGCCCAGACTGGGACAGACTGGAGAGAAGCTGGATCTCTCCCAGTCTTATGTCCAGCACCCATAGTATACACACAGGGCAGGTGAGGAACATCTAAGAGGAGGACTTCCTGCTTTGACCTCTTGGTGCTGCATATTCTAAACAGGGATCCTAAACTGTGAGGGGAGCCCCACGCTCTGTGCCGGGGTACTTCTTAGGCTTGGTCTGTGGGTCTGTAGTGGTTTAATTAGTCTGATGAGTGAAGGAAGGCTAGAAGGGGTGTCTGGCAACTGCTCAGCTCCAACTTCCATTCTCACTTTTTTATCTTAGGAGGGTCTTTTAAACACTGCTCTTCAGGGATTGTATAGACTTGGTTAGGCTTGCTCTAGTGATCCTGGTGAAGGTACTTTGGTGGGCGGGATTTCCTTTTTTTAAGCAACTGGTTGCTTTTACATACTCTTGTGAAACAAACCAGGTAGGTTTCAAGAGATGATCTCCCCAGCCTTGGAACCCAAAGGTAGGTTGCACCCATTCCTTTTTAACGTTTTTAGAGCTGAGATTAAAAGGTCCACAAACTTACCCCAAGTTTGCAGCTCAAGTGAATCCAGGGCTAATATTCCTATCTCTTGCAGCTGTGGCCTCCTCCTATTCAGGTTTCTTGCTTGAGTAGAAACCATGGACTTTGGAAAAAGCAAACCAACCCATTTCTCTGCCTGTAGGAATACAACAGCTCAGGGAAATGGCTTGGCTAAAAACATCTCCCCGCTGGGTCAATTTCTCAGCAGCAAGGAGAAGTTAATTTAACAGGAACATTTGAACATGTGATCCTTCCCCTGCGGTCCAAGGTAGGATGGTCTTACCTACATCGAACTGCTCATATAGATCAGTTCCTAGTTAGAGACCACTTATCAGCAATTTATCTGTGACAGAACTTGAGAAAACTCTGTTTGGCTGCAAGAGTTAATAGGCGAAATGGGTTATGTGAACACAATCTCTGTATTGACTCCTTGTTTTTTCCCTCCTAACAGCAGGGTACGGTTGATGAGCGAGCTCCACTAATCCGGACTTAATTCGAATTTCCCAGCCATGCCACCTTCACAAAAAAGAGCTTCATGATGATGACTGAACTGGGCAAACCGTTTTTAACTGCCACCACTACCTATTCCTCTCAACTGCACCCCTGAAGTAGTCCTCTTGTTAGAATTTAGTGACCATCTGCTTTCGAGAAAGGAGAGTGTTTGTAAAAGGAACCTGAACTGAGGACAAAATTACTGTTTTTAAGGGGCCGGTTGGGCAATCATTTGCCACTTCCTTTCCAGAGTGCAAAACTAGCAGTATTTCACTCCATTTGTATCATTTGTTGAACTTGTGGGGCCGCCCCCATGCCTGTGTCCCCGCTGGAATGGCTTATTGGAAGAGCCATGAAAGGTGACGTCAGCCCCGGTGACATCCTTATTCATTTGGGAGATTTGCTAGCACAGCCTTGTCCTTCTGTCATTTGGTTTCTTGGTGAATTCTGTGTGTCGGATCTACCTGGAGTTTCACTTTTCCCATCGTGTAAATATTTGCATTGGAAAGGGGGAAAAACAAAAGAATCCTTTGGCATACATCCAGGGAGATTCCCAGTTTTGTTCAGGCCATCAGTACATTCAAGTCACAGATGCCCCATTCAGGTTTTTTTTTTTAATGCCGTTCATCCATTTTCTTTTGAGTAAGTGGCCTAGACTGGCTTTCTCCAGCCTGGCACCTTCCAGATGCCGTGGCAGTACTTTAGAGGGTACCATGTTGAGGAAGGCTGGTTCAAGCTAGTGAAATCTCTCCTGTTCGTGTATCTGTGGAAATAGGGTTAAAAAGATTCAGCCCTTGGGCCAAAAGCATTACTGGGATTCTCTCTGTCAACTCTTTAATTTTTTAAAAAAGGACACACGTACAGAAAGTATGTTTGAAGGAGCCAGTCTCTACAGACGATGCACGTCACACATATTTTCCAAGGATACAAAACTTCATTTGAGAAGTTTTTCCCTGGCATTCTCTCTCTAATGTCTCCTTGTTGGTTTTCAGTGATTTGGGAATAACACATTCATTCCCTAAATCCAGCACATAGTTTTTCAAGATTTAAATGGCTTTCCCTCAGAGGCATCCAGATGTGCCTTGCAGTGATCCCCCTTCAATCTAGGAGGGGGAAAAAAGAGATAAGAGTCTTCACAATTGCAACCAAAATGGAATTTAAACCCTGCAGCGGAAGCCTATGATTGTCAAGATAATGTGTCTGTTTTGAGGGAAAAAGGGAAGTTTTGCATGATAATTCACTTGCACTGGAGGGATTGAGAAGGGATCTAGTGTCTCGGTTCAGTGAACTGTGCACTGATTTGGTGAAGGGAAGCTGGGGTCCTCTTTGAGAAGGTCCTGCAAGTAAGGTAGTAGCAGATAATCTTAGTGGTAGCATCTGGCTGACCTTGTCTGCGGCCAGAAGTTGTGGTTGATATTTGGATGGGAGACCACGAGGAAAGCTCAGGTCTTCCCATATCTGGGAAGTTGAAAAAAACCTTCTGGAACAAAGCAGTAGCAAACCATATTTTTGCCAAGAAAGCAACATGGACGTCCATGAAGCCACCAGGAGTCAAGCTCAACTTGAAGACCACCTTTTTCCTACTAAGTGAGCAGTGAAAATGGATACTGTATCCCTTTTATTTCCCCCTCCTCCTTTTTTGTAGTGTATCTATCACTTGAGTATTATCTGAGATCTCGCTACTCACAGTTCCCAAATGTCCTGTTGTTAGAAAAGAAACAGCTCCTTGAGTTTGCAATCTAAGTTTTCCCATCAGATTTCCATGGCTTTTGCTGTGCCCACTGTATTTCTTTAACTCAGTGTTTCTCAACCGTGACAACTTCCAGCTGTGTGGACTTCAACTCCCAGAATTCTCCAGCCAGCCATGCTGGCTGGGGGATTCTGGGAGTTGAAGTCCACACATCTTAAAGTTGCTAAGGTTGAGAGACACTGGGTTAGAGGCACATGCTTTGCAAAGTGATAGGTGACATTAATGGTTTCCTGGAGAGGTTGGGCAAATTATGTCACCTAAACCTGAGAAATTAAAATCTGAACATCAACATTTTTCAACTCAGAAACGAAAGTGTCACATTATGGTGCATAAAGTCATTGCAGGGAGAGAGACAGTTTTGAGTATTTGCAGGGATAAAGTAGCAAAAAAAAAAAAAGTGTATAATAATGTATTGAATCTTAGGAGCCCACACAGTTGTACGGCCCAATACTGTAAGTCAGGAATTTGGATGTCTTCTGGCCTATTCTGCATGGACAGGTTTTAACCTAGGATGGATCTAACTTGCAGATTATCAAGGCAAAGTGGAATCACTCTTGCTTTCAAAGGAAAGTCCTCTGTCACAACTACAAACATTTGCCAGGCTTCAGAAAAGTTGGCCTGTTAGTCTCTTGTTTGATAAGTTGAAAACTGGATGTGACCAGATTAGCAGTTGATTCTCTGGGTAGCAGCTTTAAATATGCAAGGTTATTGCATTAATTATTGCATTAATATTCAATATTAATCAAAGGGCTTGCTTTCCCTCCTCTCCAAAAGGTTGCTCAGTTGAAGAAAGTTTGGAGGGGGGAACCACAACTGGATTTTGGTAGGGGTCTATGAGCTTGTTGTGAAATCAATTTCAAGGCCCTAAACATGCTTGGAATGTGTGCTTATTTAATTTTAAGCATCTTTTATAAGTGACTATAGTTCATGGATGATTTCAGGGTTCTTGTTAAGAAAAAAGAAGCAAGGCTAAGATCTCCCTACCCTTGAAAACAATATAACTGGCAAACCTGGGTGTTTCTGAAGATGATGGATACGTGTAAGAATCAGACTTCAGGATCCAGTCACCAAATAGTAACCTTTTTCTGATGCATTTTTCTATTTTGGCTGGACAAGGCAGCTGCTGATGGTACTTAAGGCCTAGTCGCTTCTCTTGCACAAATTTAGAGATGATGAGCGCACTGTTGCAGGACACTTGCCATTGTTTCTGCTCTTGTCATTGAGTTCCCAGGAATTTGCAGGTTCCTTGCAACCCATCTGGACCTCACTGCCAGTCTTAGTCCTGCAGCCACACAAGTGGTAGTGTGGTGTATCGACCAGCTTTCCTGGGCTGAAACAATAGTCTGCTCTCTTTAGAATGACTCAAGGCCTCTTCAATTGTACTGCACATGATCGGGCTTAATAACATTTATATATTGCTTCTCTTAACTCAGAAAGAGCTTCAGGTAATGATGATCTCTGTATTCTACAAGTTGCATAAGGTAACACTAATATTAACCCCTTTAGAAGATGGGAAGTTAAGTTTGTCCCATAGCTGCTTTTCCAAGGTTGCATTACTGAGTTAATGACAAATGCTGACCTTAAAAACAATCTTGTGTCAAACTCTAACACATTTTTTTATGGCATGATGGAACTATACAAGCAGTAAAAGATGTTTTTGTTCTTTTGTTTCTCTGTTTTCTTATGTTTTAAAGGGAAAACCAACTGGGGGCAGGTGATGGTGGTTAATATAACTTTCCCAAAACTGTCAAGCTACAGGTGTCTTGGATAGCTGCCCCCATCACCCTTAGATGATGGTGAGCTCTGATACAACATATCTATAGCAGGGTACCAGGTTGAGAAGGTTCATTTTAAATGTTCTTATTGAGGTTGATGCTATGTGGTTTAGCCATGTAGGCTTAGGTAACATTTGAAGAAAATACAGGTAGTCCTCAACTTATGGCCATTTGTTTAATGACTGTTCGAAGTTACGACAGTACTGAAAAAAGTGACTTATGACTGGTCCTTGAACTTACAACCATCACAGCATCCCCACGGCCATGTAATCAAAATTTGGGCCCTTGGAAACCAGCATGTATTTACGACAGTTGCACATCCCGGGGTCACATGATTACCATTTGCAACCTTTCCAGGGGGCTTCCAACAAGCCAAGTCAATGGGAAAGCCAGACCTGCTTAATGGCCACAGCAAAAAAGGTCATAAAATTTTGTGCAAACCACTTAACAACTACATTACTTAGCAACAGAAGTTCCGGTCCCAATTGTGGTCGTAAGTTGAGGACTACTGTAGTTCATACTATGTAGCTTTGACAATGTCAATGATCTGATTAAATTACCTTTTTGTTATTTCATTGTTCCCTCCCCCTAAATTACCATTGCTAAACCTGTCCTTATAACCATGCTGTTAAACTGACTTTGATATCCATGGATGTAAAGTTATTATCAGGCCAAACATTTCCCAGAAGTTGATAAGGTACAAATTGAAAAGCTGCAAGATGGTGGTTAATAGACTTTTATTTGGAGGAATAGCACAAATTACATTATAAAAGCAATTGCAGGTGAATTTTAAATTGATATATAAACAAGGCTTCTGGAGTTCAGATGCTGGGAAAAGAGAAAAATCCAAAACAGCAAACAGGCATCTTTACACATTTAGAATATTTTCTAATGCTTTTCATTTTATTTTTTAAATCTGGTTTTCCATTTTTACATTGTGACCCTGCCAACCCTCGAGTGAAGCCCTTGACTGGAAAAATGAGATGCAGTGTGCCTTTTTTTTTTTAAGGTTGTACACACTCTTACAAAAACCTGAACCCATAAAGAGGAGTTCTATAAACACATTCAGTATATTTCTACAGTACTGCTCGTATATGGTGACAACTAGTGCAATAGGATCATTCCATAATTATTTATTCTAGCTTTTACAGTAGAATTAACTTAATAGCTCACTGTTTACACATGGGGGAGAACAAGCATAAAGTGTACTTCAATACCTTCAAATTGTGAAAGATCATTTCTTTGAGCGTTCAAGAAGGCTGCCCTATTCTTGTACAACAGGGTTCCTCAACCTTGGCAACTTTAAGACGGGCGGACTTCAACTCCCAGAATTCCCCAGCCAGCAAGGCTGGC